CGGGCCGCTGGGGACTGGCAGGTGTCCCCTCCGCGGCCCCCAGTGCGCTCGAAGGGCTGGGGCAACCCTGGGTGGTCGCTGGTTTAAAGCGCGCAGTTTGCAGACAGGGGATACCGAGGCTACGACAGGGACAGGGAATTCCTGCCCCTCACCCCAGTCAGGGGCAGCAGTCGTTGCCTCCCCCAGGGGAGTACGCTTCAGCAAGAAGCTCAGACCAGAGAGGCCGCCGGGGACGGAGTCCAGGGGCAGGGGATGGTCAACGGGAGGGACGCCTGGACACTCCCGCAGCTAATGACGCGGCCCAGGCTGGAAGGTCCCAGTTAGGAGGAGACTGGGGTCGAAGTGACCAGAGAGGCAGGCGGAGAAAACTTATCCATCCCCAAGCCTGACTGGGAGGCGCCGCCCACGCAGCCGGGGTCCCCCCTTCGCCGCTAACGGCGGAGGCCGGGGTGGCGGGACCGTGAAGGTCAAATCACCCAGACAGAACAATGCGCCTCCTGGGGTCTGGAGTGTTTAAGGAGAGGGCAAGCAAAGCCTGGGCTGGGGAGAGGCCAGAGACCTTTTGATGATCTTGACCAAATCCAAGCCTTAGTTTCCCCAGCTCACCTCTGAGGTGGCTCTCAAGACTGAGATTTGGGCCGCTAGCTATGTCTTGCTTTGTCCTCTCAGTGTGGTCCCCCACCAGCCACCCTCGTAGCCCCTCCCACCAAGCCCCACCCCTGAGCACCCACCCACCTTCTGCCACGGTCTGAGGCAGGGGGATTTCCTCCTAGGAGCCTGGAGGTCTCCAAGAGCCTCCATCATTTTTTGTTGCTGTTGTTATTTTAGTTTTTGTATTTTTTCCCTCCCCTTTTCTTCCATATGTTCTAAAAATAGCCGTCCCCCTCTCGCTGGTCCCCCAGCCCCGCAGCACGTCGTGAGCTGGGCCGCGCTCCCGCGGTGGCCGGGGATTCCTCAGATGGGCGGGGCTGGGATGCGCCGGCGACACGCGGACTGTGAGCACCCCTCCCACCGCGGAGCCGCGGGGAAGACCCGGAGAGAGTAGACAGAAAGCGGGACCTCGGGGTGTCAGGACAGAGCTTCCCAACGCGCTGTGTCCCGATGCAGAAAGTCGGATTCCATCGTTGTGGGGACCCTAAATCTGAGTAGAGTCCCCGAGTCACGGTTTGCCTACAATCCCTGCCTCATGACACACCTTGATGGCCCGGTGGCAAGTCACATTCCCATCCCGCATACCTCCCTCTCTCTTCCAGCAAGCGAGAAAACCAACCTGAGTTCTCCCGAGCCCCACTCTGGCCAACCCCAGCGTCCCTCGGGACCGGTCCAGCCTCCGGACCACAGCCTTTGGATCCTTTTGCCAGCTCTGCCCTGTGACAACTGTTCGCACTCCACTTCCACAGCCTCAAGGTGACCGTCCCCTGCCGGCGTCCGCACTGGCCACCTCGCCAGGGTTTCACGTCCCTAAGGTTCTCCGTTCCCGGTACATCCATCCTCCTCTCCTAGGAGAAAGAGGAGCCAAAGGCCACTTGGGGAGCAGGAGCTGCATCTGGGGCGACCCACCCTCAAGGAATGAGGGGTTGTGCAGAGAGACAGGAAGGGTCTTTGGACCCAGCCCAGAAGGTCCTTCGTGCCTTCTGCAGGGCGTCCCCGAAACTTCAGGAACACAGTGGGGCTGCCCCGTCGCTGGGGACCTAGGTCCCAGGGACCGAGGACAAGGAGTGTTCAGGGTGTCGCTGGGGCCTGACCCTCCTTGCGGTTCACTTTCCCCACCCCACAAAGAAAGGATGAAAGGAAGCAAGCTTTTTGCTGAGGACAAAGGCAGCCGCGCGGCGGCCCACGACAGGAGACTGAGCCTCGCGCAGATGCGTCCACTTGATGCGGTGGGAAGGGCGCAGCCAGGGTCCTGGTCCTGGAGGACACCAAAGGCGCTCACGTTGAGGGCGCCACGCCTTTGCACGTTCTTGTACTATGGGCTGGAGTTCAAGGCCCGGGATGCGGACATGGAGGCGTGGAGGGGGTTATGGGAAGGGGATGGGGGGGGTTGGGGGAGGTGGTAGGCACAAGGGGAAGGGGAGAAGATGAGGGTGGGGAAACTCTGGGAAGAAGACGCTGGGGAAGAGGTTGGGGGTGGGGAGATGAGGAGCCAAATTATGGCTGCCGTTTCTGTGCCTGTGATCTATTTTTAATTTTTTGACAAGGCCTCTTGAAGTCCACGTTGGCCTCGAACTCCTAATTCTCCTGCCTCCAAGAAGTGCTGGGCTCACAGGTGTGCAGGGCCGCGAGTTTGGTAATTCCTGGGTCGGTCGGGTTGACGGGACCAGGACGCCCAGCTCCGCTGCAGCACCGCGCGGGTCCCTTTGTCCCTGTCGCCTCGGCCACGTACTCACACCGAGGGACACCTCTGCTCTGGCGGCGCATGCGCGCACATCCGCCCGACTTCCCCCGTTCTTCTTACTCTGCAGCCAGCCCCCGTGCGGTTGCCATGGCGATCGCGAGGGCGGGAACGTGGGGAAGACCCCGCTGGCAACCCGCCCCCGCCGCCCTCACGGGGAGCTCCACTCTGGTTCGAGCCGGTTTCCCCGGACCGCGTGGGCGCTGGGGCGGTGGAGGATTCCCCTAGTCCCCAGGGACTTGCAGCGACTGGCGCATGCGTGCGGGAAATGCTCCCCCACCCCCCGCACGGGGAAAGCCCAGGTGAGGAACAAACTACTCTGCGCATGCGAATCGAGGAACTCCCCTCTCTCACCCTCTCCCGGAGTCGGGGTTTCCCTCTCCTAGTGCGCAGGCGCGGGTCGGGATTCCAGCCGATGCGACTTTGCTACGGAACAAAGGCTGTAGCCTGGTCTTTCCGCGCCTGTCTGCGTAATATTTATTTTGACACTGTATCTCTGTATATGGCTCAACCTCGCTTTGAACTTACAGCAATGCTCCTGCCTCAGACTGGCGAGAGCCACCACACGTGGCTCTGATCTTTTGTATTCTCTCTGCAGGAACTTGCCTGCGTGACTCCCCATGCTCTGCAGAGGGCTCCACGCCTCTACCCCCTCTGCTGGCTTCTTCCTGTCACTAGGAGACCAACTGGCCAGTGGATGGTCCGTGGGATGCCTTCCTCAGAGGGTGTGTGTCCTCCCCAACGAGGCCCTCCATCATGTGTCCAGTTCCATGAAGTCCATGAAAGCATGGGGCCCCAGCAGGAGGAAGGTGTAGGGACAATAAGTTTAAGGTCAACCTTGGTTAATCAGACCCTGTCAACGTTGATGTTCATAGTGTCTTGTCTGGACACGTGTCTGTACGTACATATGTGTGTGCACCACGTTTGTATCTGGTGCTCTCGGAGAGCTCAGGTCACTGGAGCCCTTGGCACTCCAGTTGTGAGGCACCATGTGGTGCTGGGATTGAACCTGGGTTCTCTGCAATAGTAATGAGTGCTCTTGCCTACTGAGCCATCTTTCCAGATCTCTGACTAATTTTTCTTTTCTTTTTTGGAGAGGTGTCTATAGTCCAGGTTGGCCTTGAACTCTGGAAATTCTCCTGCTCCAGCCTCCCAAGAGCAGGAGCCTAAGATCTTGGACACAGCCAAGGGGGATGAGCTACCAAGGTCCGTTTTGTAACTGAAGCACCTGTAGCCAAAAGCATGGTGGGCTCCTTCGCCTAGTCCTTAGCCGCGTCACTGTAGGTGAGGGATAGGTGCGACACAGGAGTGCAGGAGACACAGTTCAGGGGCGTGAAAACCCAGCTGCTGCGTCGCTGCCACGCCCCTAGCATGGGGCCTTCCTATTCCCTCCCTTAACCCGCACCAGGCCTTTTTCCGAGATGCCTGGCACCCTCTAGTCCTTTGGTGAACCGCTATCCAGAGCCTTGTCCAGTCACTGTTGGGTTACCCACCCTCTCTCCCCACAACCCATTTAGAATGGCAGAGCCCAAATTGGCCTTGGCATCACCCCAGAGCAAGGATGGCCATGAACTGCTGACTCTGCTGAGTGCCGAGATAGCAGGCAGGCACCCAAAGTGAGTACTGGGATGGCAAACATGCATCCCCATTATCTAGTTTAGGAATGTTTTCACTTCCCAGTTATGAGGCTGGAGCCAAGTGCCGCACTGATTTTACAGGGCTTACTGCCCCAGACTCTTCTAGGCACATCCCCTGTAGCGGCAGCTAAGCCTGTGCACCGGTGGGTCCTTCCCTCACACTCTTCAAGGCCTGTTTCATGAGACTTACACTGGATCAAAGACAACCCCTTCAGCACAGCCCTGGCCCTTTGGAAGCTGGGAACACCTGCAGGGAGGCCCACTTTTCTCTTGATACAAGAAACAGAGAGGTCACAGGTCTTGAGGGGGACAGTTGCTATGTAGGGAGAATCCAAGAAAAAAATGGGCTGAGGAGACAAACTGCAGATGATGACCTTGTGTGAGGCTGTCACCACTGTGGGACCTGATATCTGCCCTTGTGCCTTTGTTGCCCCACGATGGCCATTTTAATGTTCTGGGGCCAGGAGTTCAGCAGCTCAGCGCCACTTCCATAGGCAGGCCGGAAGTTCTCTGCTCTCCAGTGAGAGCTCCCCACCGACCACATCCCCAGTGCACTTCCAATCCAGCCATTCTGCAGTAGGGACACAGCCAGGGTCTAAGAGTCTTCAGCACACTGGCAGGCAGTTGGCACTGCCTACATAGGTGTGTGGGTCTCTCCGGCGCCCTCTCTGATCTTCAGGGCTAATGCTAGAGTAGAGAAAGCCGTTCTGGGTTCACACCTCACGGTCAATGGTCCACCTGTCATTCTCAGCAGGCCCAGCACCCTCATGTTCCCTGCCTGTCATCCATAAGAAAGCTGCCTCATACCTCAGGCTCCGGGTGAGTACAGCCTGAGGCTGCCCCTGCTGCTGTGTGGCCTCAGTCATCTCTGCAAACCTTGCCCTGTTGTGCGGGGGCCAGCAGGTTTGGACATGGCCATCACACCATGCCTCCCTCCAACAGTCCCCACCACATATGACATGGGCCTCAGGCAGCCTCGCCACAGCCTTTATTGGGCAGGTGCTCAGCCGGCCTCCATAGGGCTCACAGGGGCTGGGTGTTGCTCAGAGCAGGGACCCTCTGGATTGTTGAGGGTAACTCACTGGCTCGGAACTCTCTGGATTCCCAGGTAGACCTGGCTGGAGGGGGACGCCTGGACTTGGGTGAACTGGACCTGGACAAGCTGGACTCAGGCCTGGTTCTGTCACTTGGGTGTATTGAAAGGCAGCGCACGTTGGTTCATAGGGTTGTCTGGTGAGCGCAACCACTCCTTCTTCAGCAGCTGCTTCAGCTGCGACAGCCGCATGTTGGGGTTCTCCTGCTTCAGTCGCGGCAGCTGTACCTCCTCGAATGCGGTGAAGGCCGCACGCATACGGCGCTCAGGGTGCCGGTCTGCATCCTCTGCCACACTGTGGAGCCTAGAGTCAGCTCCCAAAATCCCTGCCTAGGCCCCGCCCACACCTGCAAGCCCCGCCCCACCCCCACAGGCCACGCCCACCTGAGCACTGCTATGGCGTCCTCTACAGTGCGTGCCTCCAAGTTGCCCTCCTCCTGCGCACGCCTGTTCAAATTCTCCTCCAGGGGCAGCTCCAGGTGGCTCTTGACCTTCTCCACTGGAATGGGGGGGCACAATATGACAGGGACAGGATGTGAGCAGCTGCGGTTGGGGATGCACCGCCGCCCCTGGCACCTCGCGCACCTGGCTCAGCCCGCTGCTCTCGGCGCAGCGAGTCCTCGATCTGCGCGCGGGTGACCTTCGTGGATGCCACACGAGGGGCCTTGCCACCCTTGAGCCGGGAGTCCTCCTCCTCCAGCAGGCGCTGTGTCTCCTTCTTGCGTTCCAGCTGTTCCAGACGTCGCTTCTCCTTCTCCTCCTAGGACAGTAACAGGGTCACCACGGGAGGCTGTCTATCTAGATGCCGCCTGAGGCACCGTGGGTGAGAGCCAAGTGAGTGCTGATCCCTTCCTTTCTATCCCCCAGGGCACTCTTGCAGCTAAAGTGTTTCACAAGGGAAACTTTTTGTTTCACTCCCTGAGCCTCTGTACCAAATGCAGGCAGGAAAGCCTATCTGAGTTCACAGTCAAAGGTATTTGAGGGCAGCTACTGGAGTCTGCCTCAGTTTCTCCCTAAGCCTCAGCCAGGCCCTGCCACAGTGCCTCTGCACAGCAGCTGCCCACTGGGACTCCTCCACGAGTCCTGGTCTGGGGACCTCTTCTGTCCCGAGGGCAGAGAGCCTGGAGAGGGTTGTGTGCTGGTAGATCCTGCGCCCAAAGTAGGGACAGTTTCCAGAAAGTTCCAAGAGCCCAGGACCAAGGGGTCATCAGTATTGAGTGAGACACACAAAACACTTCTGATCATGGTTTGATCCTGTAGTATTCCAAGCTGTGGGGGAAGCTGAGGCAGGAAGAATGGCTGAGCGCAAAGGAAGCTGGTACTGGTTAGATCAGGGGCCCAGGAGAGGGGACTATGGGTCTCTGTTGCCCCCTAGTGGGATGACCTGTCAGCACCACCCGAAACTGCTTCTCAAGCACCAAGTTGGCACCTGGGGCTCAAAGATCAAGAATGGGACACAATTAAGGCTGGGGACAAAGGCAGGACCACTTCAGCTAGCTGCTGCATCCACATCCCTCCATGGTGACCTAGCGCCACCCACCTTACGCTGCTCCTTCCGCATCACGTGTTTGTCCTCATCCTTCCAGTAAGCATCTTCCAGCTCCTTCTGTTTCTTGGCATCAGCTGCCGCCTTGGCTTCAGCCCTCCGTGCTCGGGCAGCTGCCGACTTGCTGTTCTCGCCCTGGAACTTCTTGGGCATCCCTCAGCAGGCTGCAGGGAGGACACTGTTGAGAGGGTTGGACAGTGGCCAGTGCCCACCCATGACTTACAGACTGCATGCAAAAACAATTTTAAAAATAGGGTCTCTGGGGCTGGAGAGGTGGCTCAGAGGTTAAGAGCACTGGCTGCTCTTCCAAAGGTCCTGAGTTCAATTCCCAGCAACCACCTGGTAGCTATAACCATCTGTAATGAGATCTGGCGCCCTCTTCTGACCTGCAGGCATACATGCAGGGAGAACACTGTATACATAATAAATAAATCTTTTTTTTTAAAAAAAAAAAAAAGACAGGGTCTCACTATGTAGCCCAGATTGGAGAGGAAACGTGATTCTCTCTGACCCTTGTCATTGCTGGGATGGCAATGGGGCATACATACCCCTCAAGCAGGCTTTCCTCTTACATTAGGATAGGTAACCCTCTGCCTACACAACCTAGGCAGGGCTCCACCCCTGAGCCGCGCCCTCAGCCCCTCACTGGGGATTCAAGGCAGGGGCTCCACCCTGAGCCACGCCCCCAGCCCCTTAATGGGGATTCTAGGCAGGGACACTATGGCTGGGTGTCTTCTGAGACTTTTGAAATAACTTTTTAACTACAATTACAATGTTGTACAAAAACTACCATTGCCTAATCCAAAAGATCCCATTTCTATCAAGAGTCCCTGTCCCAGCCCCTGATCTACTTCATCTCATGTCAACAGATTCTATACCACATGGCCTCTGTCAGGCTGTGGTCACGCAGCAGGGCCTGTCGCTGTGTCGGAGGATACTCTATGGCAGCACATGCTGTTCCCAGTGCGTCTGATCCCCCCGCACCGGTGTCCATCGTTGGCTCTTACAAGCCACACTGTAGTGGAGCCCTGCAGTGTCTCCCACTGCCATGTGGAAGCCCTGTACCCTGCAGAACCTCACACTGGACTCTACTTTGTGTGAAGTCCCCCTTTCTGGCCCCACTGGAATCATGTACATCCATAGCCACGTATCCTATCAGGAGAGGATCCCGGCAGACAGCTCAGAGCTTGCAAAGGCCCTGGGGTAGGAATGACGCTCTAGGTTTACAGGGGTCCTCGGAGGCTCCGGAGGTGAGTGGTAGGAAAGAGAAGGCAGCAGGACTCGGGATACACTCCCATCTGGCTCACAAAGCCCCGTTCATTTGTTGTGTGAGAGCACAGTTGGGTGTAGACACCATATGGGCAGGGGTCCTGAGAGCTGGCCAGAGGTGGCCCAAGAGGACGGCGACATGAGGCCAGTTCATGCAGGAGTGGAGGCTGTGATCTGGCTCCTAAGCACTGCCCTGCTTCAGACAGTCAGGATGATCGTCAGACAGCAGCACAGCGCAATGTGTAGCAGAGCAGCTTGGGTCCTCTCGTTTGTGGCCAAGGCACCCCGTGTGTGTGCCTCAGTTTCCTCATCAGAGACACACATACACGCACACACTGCCATGGGGCAGGCATCAGAGCCCCTGCCTGCACAAGACACCCCAGCTGGACCCCACCGAGCCGAGAGAACGGCCAGCAGCAAAGCAGGAATGCGTTCAGAAGGGAGGCCAATCTCCCGCACACCGAGGAAACTGAGGCACCCAACTCCACTCCATGGAGTCTCTGAATCCTTTCCCTGTGGCAGCCACACCTGCCTGCATTTGAGTATTCAGACAGCAATCAGCCCTGTGCCATAGGACCTTTTGACACCTGGCCTGGAACATTCCATCCTCCTGCCTCAGCAGTGCTGGGGTGACCGGATATGTAGCACATTGCCAGGCTAACCCAGTAAATGCCTACTGAAACTTCGGGCCAGGGTGGGCGTGGCAGCCCATGAAAAGGCAGGATACCTGAGTTCCAGGCCAGCCTGCGGTTTTCTCTCTCTCTCTCTCCCCCCGCCCCCGATTTTTCTCCAGACGGGGCCCCGATATCTTACCCAGGCTGGCCTGGAACTCACAGGCCTCCTGACTGACTGAGTAAATACTGTATATTTATCATTTAACAAATCGTCGTCCCCAACACGCTGGGAGCACAAAGGAGGCCATGTGCAAAGGGCCCTCACCAGGAACCAGATCAAGTCGGCACTACCACCTCGGTTTCCCGACCTACGAAACGACAACCACCAGGAAAAATGTTCGGGTCGGGCATCACCTGGCACACGCATATGATCCCGTCACTTGGCAAAGCTGAGGCAGCCTAGGCTACAAAATGAGCCCGGGGTTCAAATAACCCCTCTCAAAAAGTGCCCACGTAATTCCCCGTGAGTGCCGGCCGCGGGACAGGAAAAAAGTTCGGGGAAACGCTTCCTCCTCCAGGAAGCCCTCCAGGCTCTGGCTGGGCCCGGGAACGGGCTCCGCTTCCCGCGATCTGCCGCGCCTGCGCGCGCCAGCGCCTACCCCTGGGCACCCCATCTCCGGTTCCGTCTTCCCGGCGGAAGGACCCCAGGCCGAGCCGCGCCCGCCCAGCGAGCCCCGCAGCCCGACTCCGCCCGCGCCACAGCCGCTCCTACCTCTTCCCCCGGCACCGGCCCGGTCGCATTCCGTGACGTCACAGCGCCTGCGCACTCACCTATCGGTGGCGCGCCGCTCATGACGCTAGCTGATGCCGCCATCTTGGTAGAGGCTAGACCAACCAGTTTTCCTCTAAACCAAAGTTCTTAACCATTGTTGCCCCCTTTTCTTCTTTTTTCCGAGCAAATTATGTTTCGAAATATCATTTTATAGTCTCGTTTCAGATATTTATGAACAAAGACAGAAGATAAAGCTACAATCTACGACAATGACCTTACCAAGCTGGCCGCTGCCCGGAGAAAAGATGGCGGCGCTGGCGTCACATAGGGTCTATGAACGACATTTGTTGCCGGGCCGCCAGGGGGCGGCCGTGCCCATACGAGGCCGCAGCCTGGACTTTCCCGGGCACTTGGCCAGGTCAGTGACCACCCCGGCTTGGGGCAAAAGAGAACAGCATTCTTTGTCACGCCCTGGTGGGAAAACTGAAGATCAGAGCGAGTAGAAATCTAATTAGACTAAAATGCAACCGACACCAGAAACAAACAAACAAACAAAACCAAAAAAACAAGGATAGAGCTCGCCCGCCTTTAATCCCAGCACTTGGGAGACAAAGGCAGGAGGCTCTCTGAGTTCGAGGCCAGCCTGGTCTACAAGAGTTAGTTCCAAGACAGGCTCCAAAGCTACAGAGAAACTAGGCCTCAAAAAACCAAAATAAATAAATGAAATGAAATGAAATGAAATGCAGCCGACGCCGACATAGTCAGACGTGGTTTCCCAGCACAGCGGGGCCTGAAGCAGGCCGGCAGGGACGCTGAGATAAATGAGGACACCCAAATAACTGATAAACCGCCGCAACTCGGCTTCCTCCGTTGTCACTGTTCTCTTCTTCAGCTGCACTCACCCACCCCGCCGAGTTTTTCTTCTCTGTCACCTGTATGGCTTCATCGGTAACTACGTCTATCTTAACCTATCTTATACTTCAAATGTGCATCTGTCAGATTTACTGCTACTTCGGATCGCCCTCGGGTCCCTATGTCCAGATGGTGCTCTCAGAGGGTTTCAGTTTTGTGCCCCCCAAGGAGGGAAGCCTGTGACTTTCAGTGAGTCATTCCTCCTAATGGCATCTTCAGCACTGCTGCTGGGACCTGCCCTGGCTCCCCGTGGCCCTGCGGGTCTTCCTCCACCGCCTTCCTCCTTTCCCCAAACCACCAGGACTGGTCCTGCCTGACTCTGCTTCCCCTATGACTGTGATATCGGGAACAGGGACCTGAGGGCATTAGGGTGTTGTTTGGCATTCGGAAAGCGAGGAACTGGGGCATCCTCCCTACACGGTAGAGCAGGACCCATCTCCACACCCACTGTGGGGCTGGGGACTGGGGCACAGCCCCACTGTCCCCTGAAGCAGCGTGAGGAACAACACTTCCAGAGAATTTGACTGTGGTGAAAGCCGGATGCTGTGTGGATGGAAAAGCACCTCGGGGAGCTGCCTCAGGTACGGGGGCGCAGGGTGACTAAGAGAGGTTGGGGAGCCAAGGCCCCCCGGGGCGCGGGCGTGGGCTTCCAGGGAAGATCCGCGCTCCAGCAGAATACTTTAAAGTTCCACTAACCTTGCGGTGCGCGTGTGGGAGTTCGTCCCCTCACCTCAGGGCAGCGCGTCAGAATGTGGCAAAGGCGGGAGCAGGACCCCCTGGGACTGTGCCCTCCCTGGAAATTGGAAATTTCAGGTCTTCAGCCTCGGAGGAAGGGTTCTCGAGCATTGGAAACGGTTAGGGTCCCAGCTCAGCCAGATCCCCGGGTGAGGGTTTCCTCCCATCTCAGTGTCTCATGGTTTGCATCCCATCCTGCCTCGGGTTCAGGGCTCAGACACCTGATGGTATCTTCCAGGGAGACCCTGACCTCAGGTTCCTATTTTAGTTCGGAGAACAAATGGTGTAGACCGCACAGAAATCTACCTGCCTCTGCCTGGCAGGCAGGGATTAAAGGCGAGCGCCACCACACCTGGCCATGTTTGTTTGTTTATTTAGACGGAGGACTATGTAGCCCAGTCTGGACTAGAACTCAGTCTGTAGCCATGGAGCCGATCCGGGTGCACTACATCCTGAGAGCTGGGATGGCAGGTGAGTCCCTGTGAAAGGAACCGGACTGTGCAGTCCACCCGAGGTATCTGTCGCTGGGAGGCTTTACAAAACGGAAAGTGGGGAAAGACGCTGAACCCAACAGCCTGAACTAGCCCCGCTTCTCGGGACATGCTGGGAAGGACCCAAAGGAAAAGAGACACGACAGGATTACCACAACGTGTAACACTGAAGTCAGCTTTCTCCGGTGCTTTAGAGCTGATGGGATGGGGGATGGACCCCTGACAAGGACAGCCCCCTCCTGGTCCAGGCCCTGCTCGCAGTGCTTCTGTTGCCATGGAGACATCCACATTGAATGGTATTCACCGTAGAAAATAGCCGAAGGTGGTAGCACACATGTCAGCCTGGGGAGGCTGAGGCAGGAGAATTATCACAAGTCTGAGACCAGCCTGAGCTACACAGTAAGACAAGTCTCAAAAAAGCAAGTGCTGGGGCTCAGTTAAAAGAGTGCTTGCACAGACAAGGACTGAGCCCATAAGCTGGATAGATGGTGGCACCATGTGTCACCCTAAGACACAGGAGTGGGAGGAAGGAGGATCAGGAGTTCAAAGTTGGCCTTGAATTTGAGGCCAGAGTGGGCCACAGGAGACGTGAGCCAAAAAGAAAGAAAGAACGAAAGCCAGGCGGTGGTGGTGCACGCCTTTAATCCCAGCACTCAGGAGGCAGAGGCAGGAGGATCTCTGTGAGTTCGAGGCCGGCCAAGGCTATAGAGGAAGAAAAAAGATGAGGAGAACAAAAGAAAGAGCATCGAACAATCAAACAGTGCTGTTTCTGCCTCCTTAAGCGAAGGCAGGCTGGCCTCCTGTGAGTGACAGCAGCGCTTGGTGCCCCCAGAGAAACGCAAACGTTTGTCCTGATAAAGTCATTGCCTGTGTTTGTTATTAAGCTTCATAATTTTATCTAAATGGCAAAGTTCACATGTGACATCGCTTTGATACAGTGAGAAATTTACAGTTTGTTTGGAGACAGAAACTCAAGCAGCAGGGTGACCTTCTTGGGTCGATGTTGAGGCAGGATCTCTCTGTGCAGAGCAGGCTGGCCTCAAGCTAAGAGCACTGAAGAAGGAAGGTGGGCACACCGCACCCCGATTATGTTGGGGAGGGACCCAGTGCTTCGTGCATGCTAGGAAAGCACTCTACCTAGCAAGCTGCAAGCCCTACATGCACTGAGCCCCCGCACTCTGCCTGCTGGGCTGCTGTCCCGGCCACCACCACTTTCTCTGAAGTCCCCAAACCCTGATGTTTCATCTGCCCATGTGGAAGGTGACAGGAGTGGGGTTCGTACCCGGCTCAAAATCGCTCTTCCGTTTTCAGTTAAGCTCAGGCTGATCAGGCAGCCAGCAGGCTCACGTTCCTCCCACACCCATGGAGCATGTTGATGCCGCTAAACATAGAGATCCCTTGACAGAGTGTGACCTTAAACACCAATATACAGTGGGAAACATTGACAGGGCTCCCGCAGATCACAGCAAGGCTGCTGAGAAGCTGCCCTCACAGCCGCATCCTGGGAACAGACCTAGTTCACACCACTGCTACTGCAGGAAGAGGAGGTGGGGGGGGGGGTGCTAATGTCCCTGTTTGAAGCCATCTCCTCTGATACAGCTCCCTGGGAAACACCTTGGAGAACCTTTCTACACTCCTCCTGAAAGATACATTTCTCACATACTTGGGAAATTCGTCCTCAGAATCAGGCCTTAATCTTCCACACATGAAATGTTTCTGAGGTCATGGCACCCTGGCCAGCAAGCCCAGTCATCCACAGCCAGAGCAAACTGGGTTATCTTCACAGAGTCAGTAGGGGCCCAGAGGCCCTGGCTACACTGTGGAGGGGTGGGGGTGCCTGTAGGGCCCGCCTAGGATCCCCTGAGGGGCTAGGGCCAGTTCTAGTTTCTTCCCAGTAGGAGACATAGAAGGAAAAAGGAGAAAATGGAGTCAGTTCAGATAAAATGAATTCAAACATCCAAGCGAGTCTTTGGTAAAAGCAGAGCAACACTCTCTGGGTAGCTTCGTCCAGGCCCCCCTCACGGGGGCTGCGGTGGACCCCGCCATGTTGAGGGGTGTAAGAAGCGGCTTCCCCTTTTCTTTCTTATTATTTTGTTGTTGTTGCTGTTGTAATTCAGATAAAACCTAACAGGATTAATCGTTGCGGCTTTGCTGTTTTTCTTCTTTTGTTTAGAGGCAGGATCTCTCAAGCCAGCCCAGTCTGGCCTGGAACTTGTGACAATCCCTCTGCCTCCACTTCTCCAGTGCTGAGATGACTATGTGCACCAAGCCTGGTCTTGATTTTTATTTTTGTTGCTATGTTTTTCTTGTTTTTGTTTTTGATTTTTCGAGACAGGGTTTCTCTGTGTAGCCCTGACTGTCCTGGAACTCACTCTGTAGACCAGGCTGGCCTCAAACTCAGAGACTGAGATCCGCCTGCCTCTGCCTCCCCAGTGCGCCACTGTCACCTGGCCGTCATTGTTTTCTAATGTGTTTCGAAGTTATTTTTTATTTGTTCTATGTGTGTGAGGCCCAGAAGTTCGTGCTATGCAACTTCCTTCCCCTCCCTTCTGCCTCCTTCTTTTGGATCAGGGTCTCACTGAACCTGGAGGTCAGGGATTCAGCTAGACTGGCTGGCCAGCAAATCTGCCTGGTGTATCTGCTGTTTGAGATGTTCTGGGTGTGACTGTCTGCCCTCGTGTCTGTCTAGGCACCGCATGTGTCAGCGCCCGCAGAGGTGAGAAGGGGGTGTCAGCTAGAGTCCCAGGCTGTGTGAGCACCGTGTGGAGCTGGAGTTGGGCTCTGGTCCGCGGGAGCAGCTGTGCCGTTGCTGCTAAGCCATTTCTCCAGCCCCGTGTCTGGTTTAGTTGATATAAAATGAAACTTACCATGGTGTCTACAGGGACTTGGCATCTCTTCTAAGGACCCCCCCCCACCTCTGCCGAGCCCCAGAATGTTCCACTGCCAGACTGTCAGCAGTCACCACAGCCTGTCAAGGAGGCACTTGCTCTGGGGACTTCTGTGCCTGCTGTTGTCAACCAGGGGCTTGTGTGTCCTTTTCCTCCCAGAGCCCAGGATGGGAATCCTTGCTTCTCCTGGCCCCCTGGCCTAACTGACCTAACCCTGCCTTGCACTGGTCCCTCCTAAGTGACCCCAGATTCCCATCTGGCCCTGGGGCTTGTGCAGCTGCAGCCTGGGCCCTCTCCCCTCAGCTGCCCTGGCTGTGACTCACCTGCAGGCATCTTGTCTCAAAACAAATGTTTGAGAAAGGACAAGAGCCAGCAGCCGCCCTGGAGCCCGATGCGAAGTAGGCTGGGCAGCATGAAGCCCAGCATGTGACAAGGCCCCTGGGGACACAAAGCAGAGGCCAAGGGCCTGTTTGCTTTCTGGGGTTGACCCCTCTTCTATCCAGCCGCAATCTGCTGCACTGGATAACGTGGGCCGAGAGCTTGCTGATATGAGGGTAATCTGCAGACTCTCTGCCGGCATCAAACGGGGGCAACCAACAGCCCTGCCATGTCTCTCTCATGACAAGACATCTCCAGTGTAGAACCTGGGGAGACCTCCAAAATGAGCCCACATTCTTCTTTCCTTTTTCTTTTTTTCCCCACCCACCTTTCTTTCTTTTTTATTTCTAGACAGGGTCTCACTGTGCATCCCTGGCTGTCCTGGAACTCACTCTGTAGACCAGGCTGGTCTCAACCTCTGATCTGCCTGCCTCTGCCTCCTGAGTGCTGGGATTAAAGGCTTGCGCCACCACTGCCCAGCTAAAAGTTTTTTCTTTTAAAATATATTCATCTTGTTATTTTAAATTATCTGTGTGTGTGTGTTGCCTGCAGAGGTCAGAAGCGGTGTCGGATGCCCTGGAGCTGGAGTTCCAGACGGTTGTGAGCTGCCACATGGGTGCTGGGAACCCAACCTGGGTCCTCTGCAAGAGCCGCTGAGCTGTCTCTCCAGCCCCTGCAATTTGTCTTTTTATTTTTGTTACAGAAGAGATGGTGGGTTGTTCTTGAGGCTTGTTAAAAGTTCCGATGGTCCAAGCTCGCTACCTGTGCTGGATAAATTCAAGGAAAGCATCTGCCCCATCGGGGAGCAGTCAGCACTTTGTGTCCATCACTGGGCTTCAGGCTCAGGAGAAGAGGGTCTGAACGCCAGGCCAACACCTTGGCTACCTCAGATTCGCCTCGCTCCCTACTGCCCTCCCTACACCTTTCTTCTCTCCTTCCCAGTCCTGTTTCTAGTTCTGTTGTGCTTCAGGCAGATTTTCTGGGAGGGGGCTGGAAGGGAGGCTGGCCTGGACCTACAGTCCTGCCACAGAGGAGGGCGAATGGGTGACAGCCATCAGCCTTGCCTCACAGGGCCCCAGCCCTGCTGCTGAGCCTCACTCCCCTCCCCCTCAGGAGCCTGGGTCTTTAGAAAAGCTCAGAGCAGGCTCTGGTCAGGCTTTGTGTTCTCAGGGCAACTGCATTTTAACCCCCGCTGAGAAACCCTGGCCTGGCCTTGGTGACAAAGGTATAGAGAACCAGAGAGGGGCAGCCGCGGGCTGCAGGTCACACAGCACCCTCACTGGGGTTCTTGTGGATGATGCTGTGTGCAGGAAGCCCCAGTTGTGAGGAAGCCAATACTCCCTCTTATGGAGACTGACTGTGGGCAGGTCTTCAATATTGAATTTGTTTGGGATTTCAGACAGTCTCACGTAGCCCAGGCTGGCCTTATACTGGCCATGAAGCCAAGGATGACACACCTTCAGCTTCTGGTCCTCCCACCTCTGCCTCCCACATGCTAGGATGCCAGGGACCAATCAGCTGGAAGGTTCTTGGGTTTCTGCATCACAGGTGTCCTAGAGCCAGCCACGCCTGGAGCTAATGCTGCCGGAGAACTTAACTGCTTCCTGTCTGCTGTGACCCCGTCCTCCTGTCTGCTGTGACCCCATTCTCCTGTCTGCTGTGGGCCTATACCTTCCTGGCTTCCTGACAATGCCCCTGTTCCCCAGGAGCCAACAGGAATGTCAGCAGGCTTTTGGCCCTAGCTGCGAATGCCAGATCAGCAGGGAAGCCCTGGAGAGAAAGGCCCCACCTGGCTCTTTGGCAGTCGACAGGAGTGGGGGCAGAAGAGGGAGTCGCGGTGGGCGGGCACGGGGGAGGGGGTGCTCCAAGCTCTGTCCCAGCGGGCAGCAGGCAGTTCTTGGAGGGGTCACCAGAGTTGGGTGAGTCAGCAGGTGGGGCTTCAAGGGAGCTTCTAGAATTCCTGCCCCACCACAGGACAGGATAGAGCCGCGCAGAACAGCCAGGGGCCCGCACATGCAAAAATGCTAAAAACAATATAGGAGATTGAAGCCAGCTGTGAAGGGCACTGGAGGGGGTGTGTGTGTGAGGGTTTCATTCTGGGACGAGGCGGCCTGGGTCATTCAAACATAAGAGGAGAAATTCCCCAAGAGCAGTTCACCGTGCTGAGGAGTCGATAACATCCCACAGTGCTTCAGAGGCTTATGCTAAATGAGGAATTGGAGAGATCAGGCTGATGGGAGCTGGGGAGTGGACGGGGCTGTGGCCTCCTGTCAGGTGACTGAAGGACAGACACGATATATTCTGGGTGGGGCAAGCGGCCACCACCCTGACTGGCAGTCAGCGCTGTTCTGGGGATGTTTGCCACCGAGATAAGAAAAGGAATCGAGGGTAGGGTGAAACAGAAAAAAGGGGCTGTCGAGAGGGCTCAGGAGCTTGCTGTGAAGTCTGAGAACCAGAATTTGATCCTGCAGTTGCACGTGGTGGAAGGAGAGTCTGCTCCTGCAAGCTCCTCTGGTCTGTGTGGCCTGGCATTGGTGTGTTTGCATACGCACAAATAAAGGCAACAACCTTTTCAGAAAAAATAAGGGGAGCGGTGACTGGGCACGGTGGTTCACGTTTTCAATCCTGGCACACGGGAGTCAGAGGTGGGTGGATCTCTGTGAGTTTGAGGCCAGCCTGGTCTACAGAGTGAGTTCCAGGACAGCCAGGGCTACACAGAGAAACTCTGTCTTGGAAAACCAACCAACCAACCAACCAAGAAATAAATAAATAAATAGATAGGTAGGTAGATGGATAGAGAGAGAGATAAGAGAGGTGGTGTCCTGGCTGGAAGAGAGGATGTGGGGGGCTCCGAAGCTTCTTGCTTGAAACAGTGAACACTGGGGAGGTGAAGGCTGGAGGATCAGGTGTTCAAGGTTATTCTGAGTTATATAGCAAGTTGGGGGCCAGTCTGGGCTACATGACTTTGACTCAGTCCTGGCCCCAAATTAAACATGTCACCGCCATAGGAACCAGCCAGGTCATGGTCACCCAAGAAAGGAACTCCTCGGGAGAAACCATGCAGTAGCCTGAGGGGCGTGGCTTCAGGACATGGTGCCTGGTCAGGTCCCCACACCTCCAGCATGGTGACAAACCTTCACTAGGTCGCACCAGCTGTCCACCATAGCCCAGATGAGTCTGGGGCTCATAGCACGTCTCCTGCCTCAGCTCTCTGAGGGCTGGGATAGCAGGTGTGTGCTATCACACCTGGCTTGCTCCTGTAGACTTCCTAACTTACAGTGCGGATTTGTCTCTGTAGATGCTTCTTTCTCCACCCCCACCCCCAGACAGGATTTCTCTTTAGCTTTGGAGCCTGTCCTGGAACTCATTCTGTAGACCAGGCTGGCCCGGAACTCCCAGAGATCCGCCTGTCTCTGCCTCCCGAGTTCTGGGACTAAAGGCGTGCGCCACCACCGCCTGGCTGTAGATATTTCTTACACTATTTGTCTAGGGAATCAGCACTCCCAAAAGACCACATATGTTCAACAAGAAAGTAACTTTTTTTGGAACACACAGACGTGGAGCTGATCAGTCACATCACACCCATTGCACTTGAACACCACAGCAATTTTATTGTTGTAGACGAAGCTGGAACGAAGCTGGCCAGCTGACACACTGTGGTATGTCCGTACAATGGAATACTACTTGGCACTGAATAAAAGTGAAATATTGATATACACAGAAGCATGGACAGATCACTGTGTCAAAAAAAATGGCGGTCTATTTAGGTGTGTAGTTCAGGGGTAGCTTGCTCAGCACACACCTGGAGGTGAAGGTGGGACGCATGGGAGATGGTATATACGGGGCCTTGTGAAGCAGGAAGGAATTAGCAGGGGC